GAAGTTAGATTTCTGAAGCACAGGAATACAATGCTACGGTAAAGTGTTTATTGATAATTAATCAAAAATAAGCAGCACTTAATCGATTCATTTTCATTAGCAAAATTAGGCTATGGCATTTCCGGAGCCAAGCATTATTATTTATAATTTAATTCAATGTATCATTCATTTCCAATTAATCCATTAATATATTGCATCATTTATTTTTACACTTGAAGTTGTATATTTTAAGTTTTAAAATCGGATAATTTACTATTAGTAAATTACTAATTTCATTAAGTTCATTTTTTTTTAATTTCATCAAAACGTTAATTAATATACAATTATACAACTTTAATTAATATACAATATAGAACTTTAATTAATACACAATTAGTTTAATATTTATTAAATCATATTTCTTTCTCTTTCTTTTTTTTCAATTTATTCGTTAATTTTCTTATAATTATTATATTCGTTGAAATTATTCGATAATTGATTATTGTTTAATTTAATGAATTGCTTCCACCCATAACTATTAATGAAATCATCAATGGTTGAAATTGTTGGATTGACAATGTTGTAGAATAACATTTGTGCTCCATTACCGTTAGGAACATAAAGGTAAAGTAAGAATGCTGCCTGAAATGATGAAATTATATGTATTATCAGTTTGGACAATTATTCTTTATCACAATTACTTTTACAATTAAAAGAAATATTCGTACTGATATATTATTACTAATTATTATTATTAATTACTATTGCCATTATTAATAATAATAATTACTATCTTTAATTATTATTATTAATTAATTACTATTATTTTCTATCCATTTTAGGAGATGATAGGAATTTTGAATGGACATTTATAGGACAGATATTTTTTGCTTTATTTTTAAACTTAAAACTAAATTAATGAAATTAATTTAAATATAAATTTACATTACTCTTCTGCTAATAATTTCACCTTAAATAGCCAATATGAGGGGAAAGAATTTGTAATTACAGATATCATAGAATCGACTATGGAAAATGTAGCAAAAACTGTCCAATACATTAACCATTGTGTATCATCTTCCTTATTTGGTGTACGAATTGCCTAAAGATGTTAACTTCGAATTAATTTCGTTCTTTCCTTTTTCATTTGAAAACAATATATGAAAATTTTCTTAATTAATTAAAAGAATTCATCCTTTTTTTTTTAATTTAAAATTTCGAAAATTAACTTTAACAGATGCATAAGCAGGATAAGCAAATCCAAAGATATTGCAAATTAATTCAGCAAAATGTCCAAGCAATAGATAAAAAGCCAATATAGCTAAAATTACATATACCAACTGAAAAATAAATTTGCATAATAATATATGCATTTATCATTTTCTTAATGAATTATCAATAAAATATTTGTGAAAATTTAAAATATATTTCATATGCAATATGAAGAGAATGAATATGTAAGAGGTCAAATGTCAAAGATAATTATATCAATAAGACCTGTTCTCGATTATTTTTTAATTCCACTGTTGGAAGTAAATTATTCAAATTTGCAACACGTTTATTGTATAGAAATGCAAACAATTGTGGTTTATGAGTAACACCATGAAAGATTCGCTCCGATCCACTTAAATCTCTCTCGTTCAAACTTACATTTGATAATGTTCTATCAGCGACTATTGCTGCCATCTCTAATTAGAAGCTTTATTTATTAATTCATTTATCATTCATTCCTTTTATCTGATTATACTGAGCTATCCGTTTACGTAAAGAATATAAAATATAGGTAAACATAAAGAACATATAGTATTTGTGATATATAATTGCAATTTACAATTCACGACATTAACTCACTGTGCTATGGTTACTTAAAAATTTTTAAATGAATATTTAAAATTTTCACTTTTGTTATAATCAAATTTATTTCGCATAACTTACAACATTACATAATGAATGAAACCTCAATGATCTTACGAATTAGTAGTAGTCGTCGATTTAAATGATAATTACAAGCAACCGATTAGTATTGGTTTAGAAGAAATAAAAAAGAGTTTATTTACTGTAAAAGGTAAACTTATATGGCATATTTTTATGGACTGATAAATTTGCATAGAAAAATCAAAATTCAAATTACTGTAGTATTGCAGTCACCAGTAAATAATCTTCTTAGGTTAATTAAGCAAAAAATTTGTACATAATGAATTTTAAGATAATTTTTGTCGATAAGTCCATGCGCCAGATATAAGTAATATCAGGAAGATTTCAGAGATTTAAAACTACAATTATTCGTCACGATATTTATATCGTTAATATCAATGTTATTGTCATTCATATATCATTGTTTACTGTCACAATCACAACATAAACACTGCAATCATATGAATCACGACCACAACATAAACACTGCAACCATATGAACCGGTTAAATGCATAAGTTGATAATACTACGATGTTTACTTAATCATAGCACGTCAAATGATCTTGTATTGCTACAGTTTCATTTTTCTGATAACGGTTATTCGTCTTCTACCTGATGTTGTAGTTTGAAAAAAAAGAGCTATTTGATGCTTTATATATCAACCTATACATATATGTACATATATAACCGTATACTATTCTATCCATCCACCTATCTATATGTATATACACCAATCTATACATGGAATATTTAAAAAGGTAAGATTTACATATCTTGTAATCCCCACAGAATGATATCGATAAAGATAGTATGCTAGTATTCGGTAATAATATATTGTTGTCTTGTGAAACCTAAACAAATATAAATTAGAAGGAAGTAAATAAACCAAAACGTTAAAATTTAAATGAATCAAATAGACATATATAGCACAATACAATATAATTTCACAAACAGTAAATACGGAAAAAGAAGAGTAAAACAAGACAATAAGTAATTTAAAGAAAACTTCACTTCTCGAAAAATACAAGCTCATGACTAAAATGTTAATAACGCATTAAATTTTAAACTGAATGTGAGGATAAGGAAATCCTTTCCAGAATGAAGTGCAAAAAATGAATAACTCCGATATTAAAGTTGGATATTGTCATGAATATAACTTTTTCGGATAACGTCCGCTAAACACTCCGAATAGTGTTATCATATGGCAGTTAATTTGTTATTTATATAAAGTGTCATACAATCCGAAGTATTCAATAGAAGTTGTAGGAATGAAAGAAAATCAAAAAACACGTTCTCGCAAATATTGTAAGCTAATTTCAGGAGAAATTAGCCTATAATATTTGTAAGGATCATATAAGTAACATCGAGCTTTTCAATATCTATTGTTTCTTCAAGCTGATCAACCTCCCACTTCACCTTTTGATACTACTGCATGTAGAAGCTATTTAAAAAGAACAGAAGTTGATGAAATAAGTTTCTTTTATGAATATCGCGAATGATGAAGTAGCATAACTCTGAGATTACCATTGCCAAAAAGCCTTGTGGTGATGAAGAAAAAAGTTAGAGTTCCATGAATATGCCTTAAAGAATAAATCTGAAGATTTTATGAGTTATATGAATGGACATGATTTCAAGATTTCTTAATAAAAATTGAGAAATATTTCATAATTATATCAAGTGATAACCTCTTTGCTTCAATATGTCGTCATCACCTTATTCCTACTTTTATTATCATTTAATTTCTTAACACGGTACTGATTTGGACAAAAGCGTATGCATTAATATAAAGCTATAACACTGAGATAACATAACTCCTGAATTAAAAACCGTGGGAGACAAGAGAATGTCGAGGGCAAAGTAATTTAGTCCTAAGCATTTTTATGAAAGATGAAAATCACTGCAATCGCATAAAATTGCTGACGCCACGGCTTAAACAAACGATATTATGTGTGATAAATCAAATTCGATGAAGTCAAAAGTACATTATACATCACTATCACTGGTTTTACCACTGAATTATCACCTCATTAATGACCTTCTAGGTAATTCTGCAACACGAAACTGTGCCTCTTCAATAACTGTTAGCAAATTCTCTCCATCAAGTTCATCCAGAAGAAGTAAAACAGCTGATAAAATTCGTTCCATTCGTTTTTTCTGGAAAAATAGACTTTATTTTCCTTCGAAAAATAAAAAATACAAAATGGTAAAAAGTTTATAGAAATCATTCCTCTACAGCTCTGGATTCACGAACAATTTTAAACCATTACCTTATCTTCGAATATTTGTCCCTGAGACTCAACCAATCCGGCACCAATTGATTCGTCATCAAAATCTGCCAATTCATCACCCTCTACCATCGGTGAAAGTTGAGGTGGATCTAATGGTTCTCCCTGAATGTAAAACATGTAAAGCACCTTATAAATTGGAAATCGCTCCCGTATTTAACCTAATTCCACAATTTACAGAAGATTCAACATAAAATTCATGAAGTTAAAACAAATTGCATAAATCTCTAATGTTAAGACACTTAGAAAGTAAAAAATTGAAATAAAGAGAGAGAGAGAAAATAAGAATTTCAAATTCCTTCTTTGAAATTACCTGCTTTAAGAGTAGCTGTCTATTCCTCAATACTTGGCGCACTTGTTCGTTCTCTTCTCTTTCATATGCTCGACTTTCGCGTTGACTGGTTATTGAAGCGATTTCTTCATATGGTACTGGTTCACAATCAACGTGATGTTCCGGAGGTTTATCCCCAATTATTTCACCATCATAAACTATTATAGATGCCTGAGCTCCAGGTCCACTTCTCCGTTTCGCTCGCAGACATCTGTTGCATCGATAATACTCTTTTCGCCCATCCACAGAACTTTTCATATATGCATACTGTCGGATTTCTTTTGTTTTATCCTCCATCACTGTCAGCAAAGAAGCGTTGTAACGACTCGACAGAGCACGTTGCATTATCGTGAAACCTTTCAATACGCCCATCTTCCTCCTTCATAAAACCTTTTTATCAAATATATTAAAAAACTGTAAGCCTCCACTAATTATCACGCTTTTTTAGGCGCAAATCTAAAAACTTTGTTTAAAAAAGCTTACTTCCTTTCTTGTTCGTCATTTGATTCCGCATTTCTGTTCTGTAAGAAAGCATAAACAGAGTATTCGCAGTAAGTATTTTGATGGAAAAGATGAAAGAGTTTCGTTAATCATTGAATAAAATAAAGTGAGAAATTCAAAACAAGATGAGTAGATTAAAGTTTGAAAGAAAAAACGAAAAGCAAAACTGCAATACTTGGAAGCGAAAACGAGAGACTTACTATATGCCTCAGTCGTCGTGAGAGCGTAGGAGCCGAAATTTCAAGTCCTAATTGGTCCTTTACAAGTCGACATACTTCATTTAGAGATTTAATTTCACCGTTTAGATATTTCAATAATAAACCATCATAAATAAGTCTGTAACAGCATTAAATATCCTGAAGTCAGATTGTCTCAGAAGAAGTGAATTTTATTTATGCAATAAAATGATCTATTGATTTACTTTTGTTCCTGCGATCCAAAAACGATTCCATGCCCATCCTCTAGAAACGATTCCGAATAATTATTTCGTGGATTACTGAAAATAACATACCATCATAACGTATCACATTTATTATTCAATGCCAAACGCCACCATTCCTATTTTTCTAATGGAAAGGAAGCTATTTAAAATTAAAAATTAGTTGAATGGGGCTAGCATGAATGGTGGGAAACATGGGAGTTGAGGATGGAAATAGTACAGTGAGCAAAATAGTACAATAAAAATACATTAAATGACATGGAATGACATGTAACAACCACATACTACTGTGTAGGAAAGAAGAGACTTACACATGTTCTTCATCTTCTACATTCACCTCGGAAGTAACCGATTCTTCGTCGTCTTTCTTTAGCCTTTCTTCTGTGATCATATCTGCTTATATGTCTGGAATAACATTACAAATACAATTTTAGAGAGAATAAAAGGGGAAACCAAATAGCAACGAAGAATGGTCAATTTTTAAAATCAACTTTACAGTAAATAAAACTGCAATTATCATCAACAAATACACAAGAACTTTAATCATCCACTGAAGGATACGGAAAGAGGAAAAATTTAAAAAGCAAAAGAAAAATAAATGGAGAAATAAGAAATCAACATATTACGTCCATCCTCATGTTATAACCCAATAGCTATGAAAGATGAAAGAAATCAATACTTCGATAAAAATCAGAATTCAGAACTCAGAAAACGGCAAAAAACCATCCCTGCCAAATCCAGTCATTCAATCCGTCTAATATTACACATAATCCATTCACCGACATTTCAAAGTTCACTGCTATTGCCAAAAGAGTATAGTGTACGGAAGGAAATCGTAAGATATAAAACATTTAATGCAGCTATAAATTGCTTATATTTCAAAAATTATTCGAATATATAATTTTCAAATAAATATTATTTAATGATAATCTTTAATGATAATCTTAAATAATTCGATTGCTCTTTAAGAGATATTATTATTGAAATGCATAAATTTTCTTCAATGATATGTTAACAAATCCTAAGAGATACTGAAATACTGGAATTGATACTCTAAATTTAATAGTTTCCTCATTACTTATTACTCTAAGATAGAATTGAAAAAAAATTTTCCGAGATTTTTCCGGAAAAAATTTTCCAGAAATGTTTAGAAATAAATAAATTAAGAAAAATTATAATAAAGGCATAACTAAGAGATGTTTTATTACATCATTT